GGTCGAATGGACCCTCATTCAGCACAGACTATACACACATAGATGTATCGAGGGGTTCCTTCTTTGTTATGTATTTTATCGATGGGAAATTTAATTTTCCGTTGTAATTCTTTTTATGCCCCCACAGAGTGGGAGCATATAGCGTTGCACTTGTCCGTCCGTCTGTCCGTCCGTACGTCTGTCCGTCCGTCCGTCCGTCTGTCCGTACGTCCCGAAATCTTGTGAACGCAACTCCTCTTAAACCGGATGGCAGATTTTGCTTAAACTTCCAGGGATGAACAACCTTAATGTGTAGATGGTAGTAAAGGAAGGAATTTTTGCTGCGACCAAATTTAACAGAATTATGGCCCTTTGTTGATTTTTTCACTATATACCATGTAAAAATTTTGTGAACGCAACTCCTCTTAAACCGGATGGCAGATTTTGCTTAAACTTCCAGGGATGAACAACCCTAATGTGTAGATGGTAGTAAAGGAAGGAATTTTTGCTGTGACCAAATTTAACAGAATTATGGCCCTTTGTTGATTTTTTCACTATATACCATGTAGAAATTTTGTGAACGCAACTCCTCTTAAACCGGATGGCAGATTTTGCTTAAACTTCCAGGGATGAACAACCTTAATGTGTAGATGGTAGTAAAGGAAGGAATTTTCGCTGCGACCAAATTTAACAGAATTATGGCCCTTTGTTGATTTTTTCACTATATACTATGTAGAAATTTTGTGAACGCAACTCCTCTTAAACCGGATGGCAGATTTTGCTTAAACTTCCAGGGATGAACAACCCTAATGTGTAGATGATAGTAAAGGAAGGAATTTTTGCTGTGACCAAATTTAACAGAATTATGGCCCTTTGTTGATTTTTTCACTATATACCATTATAGAAATTTTGTGAACGCAACTCCTCTTAAACCGGATGGCAGATTTTGCTTAAACTTCCAGGGATGAACAACCTTAATGTGTAGATGGTAGTAAAGGAAGGAATTTTTGCTGCGACCAAATTTAACAGAATTATGGCCCTTTGTTGATTTTTTCACTATATACCATATATATGTTGTCAGTGGGGGCATCCGTGTCCTTTGGACACAGTTCTAGTTTATTTAACAATTATATGAAACGATTTATCTACAAGAAACATATTTAACCTTTAGAAAAGCTGAAGGCCACTAAATCTATATAATCATTAAGCAACATAAAGTAATTAAACTTTTTTTTCAGAATTCACGTTCCTTAATACACGTGGTTATTCGAACGTTCTGTCTAGAAAAATAATCGAGTATTCACAATTTAGGACATTTTAGAAAATGAAAATACCAAAATGGATTGTCACCCTAGAGATTTGATTCAATTTTCACGATTATCCATTAATGTAGTTATATAAGTGTTTTAGTGTGTTTTTATGTTATTAAAGCAGCATAGAATTACTAATGTTCCAATCTTGAAAATAAACCAATTAAATCTAAATTAGATATTTATTGAAGTACTTTTGCAGTACGTAATTAAAGAGAGTACATTCGTACCAAAATGCGAACACTTATACGTCTTAAGCGGACAAAAATGTAACAAGTTTCATTACAATAAATTTATTTAATATTGTTATCATTGTTTGTTCTAATACTAAATCTGTGTCTCTTTAAGTCGGATAAGCAATAAAAAATATTAACAAAAAAAAAAAAAAAACATGTGACAACAGAAAAAGTATGATGGCTAACAACTTCAGATGCTAGCACAATCGAGTACTGAAATGCAATAAAATACAACATTAAAAAACAAGCGCTTTTGATTTCAACTTCGTAAATGATGCAAAATTGCCAAAAAAAAATTACTGGTATTACATTTATTAGCACACATCATTAAAGAGACTCCGCTGCAGGTTTTTTGAAAGGATGGGATAGAAAATATTTTTTTCTAGATAAATGAACCATTTGATGTAGGTTTAGACCACTAATATTTGTGCAATATTTCAGATCATGCGCGCGATTCGTTTTTCCAGAATAATCATTCAAATTGTGAAAAAATGTCCACAAATGAAAAGCGTTTGAACATTTTCATTCAAATCGGACTAAGAAAAGCTTAAAAATACGATTTTCAATTTATTTCAAAGAATATGTCTTAACTGTCCTTGCATATTTTTCTGTTTAAAGTGCCCCAGCTTATTATGTAAGAAATTCAAATGTTATGTTTTAGGCTTTTAAACCTCTGTGGAGTCCCTTTAAATTGTATTAACAATCATCCATTGTATTACACACTCAATAATTTATTTCATTTATTCATACGCGTTGACCTTTTTTCATATTCATGCATGTATAAATTATATTTCTTGTATGTATATGGCTTAACTCAAAATAAAACACATGTTCTGTTTTGTTCATTAAATGAGCGTACTAAGCTATTTCTGCATGTTGTTTTTGTTGTTGTTGTTTTCTTGTGTTTTTTGTTGTTTTTTTTTTGTTTATTTTGCTGTTGTTTCTGTTGTTGTTTTTTTTTATTTTTAATCTCACACGGTCTCAAAACAGTTTTGTTTTCATGTCTCACACTATTTCCAGCTGACAATTCGGTAGGTTTTAAAAGCAATGTACTTAATAATCGCCGCTAACATCAGATAACGAGGTACACGTGTCTGTACTATTTGCAGCCATTTACTCTCAAGTCATTACCTACGTGTCAACGTCAGGTTAATGAAAACTTTGCGTGTTAAAACTATAGCGATAAAAAGGGCATTTTCAATGAAAATAGGAGACAAATAATGTTCTTCATAAAGATATATTTTTAACAGAATATAAAAATTGATCTTAAATTAAATTAAAAAAAAACACCGTCAAATCCATTTAAGCAGTATGCCTCAAGGTTCATGCTTATTATAAGTAAAAACTTCAAAATGTAAAACGATAGTAAAATATTGTGAAGTGAACAAAGAAAATGATTTTCATAGTGCAAACAGCACTCACAATCCACGTTACGTAGCAAACAAGATGTCGCAATATGCAGAATTAGCTGCTGCTGCGTTAGTCACGCAGTTAACAATTATGGTGATAGATGCTACAAAATAAATCATTAATCGCATATAATATGTCAAATATTACTTAAATCTTGAAAATATTTTTACTTTTCTTATAAATTATAATCCTACCACATTTCTTCTCAAATATGTTTTTCCTGATTTTTTTACTCATCTGACGGCTTGAGGATTGTTTATTGAATGTAAAAAGTGCTAAATTAATAACAGGAGAACACAATTTTAAGAGAAATAAAGGCCTTTATTCGTCAATGATGTTAAACAAGTAATAAATGCACAGACATTTCAATCTGTTTTCTCGTTGTCTGCCTGTCGGGGTAATAGCAGGAATAACGGATTAGAACAGAACAGAACAGATGTTATTACACGTAAACTGTACAGTTTCTAGTGTTTAACAATGAATAATACATATATACAATAAAATATTGATACATATAGCATGAAAAATGAATGAAATTATGTATGTATAACATAAAAGGAGATATTTTCTTATATTTTCTTAAAAAAACAACATGCATAGTTATAGAATGAAAAACAAAGAAACAAAGAAAAAACCATGTATTTGCATTATGTGATAATGTTTGGATTCATGTAAACCTTACCTATATACATCAGATACTTAAAATAGAAAGTAGAAACAATAACACAATACCTAAATTTTCTATAATTAACACGTTTTCGTGTTGTGATTAAATCAGCTGATGATTGTGTTGTTTTTGCTGCTGTTATGTATTGTTCCCTATCTTTTTTTTCTTTTTTGACCGAATGAGTTACACATCATGATCTTGTAAAAATCTTTAATATTGATAAATGTTTTAATAAATAAGGGGAGCGGTGGCCTAGTGGTTAAGGTGTCTGTCTCTCAACCCAGAGCTCATTGGTGCGATCGCTACTCGGGTTACGACCATGTTTCTTCATATGACACCAGTACTGATTGGTTCCAGGAAGCGGACTCGAAAGTGATTAATATAAGTTGCAAGAACTTGTTTCGCAATCGAGCTGAAAACCAAACCTATAAATGACTTAAATATTTGTAATCATAAGATGGCGTAGTTAAAATAATTCCTGTAGATAAAAGTATTTGAGGGAAGGATGAAAGTTTTACTTTCTCTTAAATAAAAGTGTATAAGACAATATTGGACCGAACATTAAAGTGTATACAATTATATTGGACTATGTTTAATAGGCGGGAATTTGGTATCTTTATATTGCAAATAGATACCAAAGTACCTTTATGTAAGAAAAAGATTAGAATGTTCGATAAAGCGAGTTGAAAATGAAACTGTAATGCAATCGAAACACTGAGCACATGCGCTTGACTTGAATGGCGTTGTTTTTATACATTTATCCCTAATCACGCGGGTATGTGCTCATTAATATAACCAATGATGCAAAAAAAATGTTGCAACAATTTGTTTGTGAAAATTGAGATTGCAGAAATCTGGCTATTAAGCACCGCCATCGGTAAATGAAATATCAAACTGTCTGTTTATAATATTGACCGAAGCTTAATAATGTGCTTTGTCCAATAATTATGAATTTTTACGTATATTAATAAATATATCGTTTCTAAAAGTTCTAGCGAAAATTGAAAACAAAACACTATGGCTATAAATAATCTTTTTGATATGTACAAAAAATAGAATACGCATTTTAGTAAATGTGATAATCATATTTATTTATTATATTGGTTGCCATGACAAGACCATTAGTTATCAATGTATTATTTTTAAAAACATCAATAAAACAAAAAAATAAAACAATAAAACATATTTGAGTGAACAAATTTCCAAAATGTAAGAGAAGAAAAAAAACAAGACAGCAAAAATAAGAAGCCACCAAAAAGTTCACAACACATTCAATAATAGTACAAGCTATTTTCTGTTTAAGTATGCTATAGTTTTCTTAATTATGCTATACCAATGTCTTAAGTGAAAGAATTTTAAAAACTGAAATACAAAACAGTTAAAGAATATGTAAGTATAAAAAGAAAAATATTATCATTCTTTCGTAAGACAGACTCAGTATACGAAATAAAATACAAGCATGTTCAGAAATAGGACAAAAGCCAAGTCAATGAAATTTGAATTCGATGAACTGGTATCAGGCCATGGCTTTGTTCCACACTTTTCCCTTGCCAGCTCAGCATTGCATGAATCAATCCGATAGAAATATTCCATGATTGCCGATTTCATGGCGGGGTCACCATTGTTGGATCGCATGGAGCTTTTCTGCCTCTCCAGATTATGTTCTTGAAAGCAAGGGTCGTTGAAAATGTCACGCACCGTGTCCAGACAACCATCTTTGCAAACGCCTGGTTCACATGTACTGTAAAGACGCGTGGTCCTTGCGATTGTTTTGGGATGGCTAAAAGAAAGATACACTTAAAAGATAATTCTATTTATATGTATGAATTGTGTATTTTAAAGTCGAAATATATATAAAAATCCCACTTGTCCAAAATATAAAATAAAACACTAAGAACATTTTGGTCAATAATTCCGTTTTCTTTTCTATCCTAAATAAGTGGTATGTCACTGTATTTCAAGATGTCTTGAAAATCACTACAGTTCATACATTGAATACATTTAGTGTTGAAAATTCGATCACCAGATTCATATTTGATTATATATTTGTTAACAACAAGCCTGAAAAGCCCACTTCAGATGCATTGCTGGAAAAGGTCCTTCAATGTTTCAAGTCAGTAATAAGGTCACATGTATCAGACTGGAGTCATTCGTGTTACTTTTGTACAGGGTCACCTAGGATCATACCTATGAAGTTTGGTCCAAACCTATCAATATTTTAAGGAGGAAATGTTATTTTAAAGAAATAATGGATAACGACGAACGACAGACACCAGCTCAAGTGAGCGAAAACAAGGTCTCAATGCTCGTTATCAAAATGTCGATAAAGTTTTTATTTCAATTTATAGAACAATTATTCTCATAAAAACAATTGAACCCAATTATATTACAATCATGAGCTAGTAATTGTGTTGTCATAATTGTTGGTCATTTAACGCCACAATTGATTTCTTGGTTCTATTTGCTGCTCTTAAAGCGCCCTTAATCTTTTATTTTGTGTTGTTAAAACAGTTTTGTGTTGTTTCAAACTAAGTACGGTAATATTTTTTTAATTTGGAAAAGGGTATCCCTGGTAATGCTCTTTCAACTCAACGTCCCGATAGCTATTTATAGCACACCAGTGATGTTTGTATCTAAAAATAGATGATCGAAAAACGAATCGTCCGCTATGTTTACAAAGTGGATCATTAGAATAAGAGGTTTCAAAGGTTTCCTTATTGTTAATCTATTCTATCGATTTTTGCACCTTAACTTTTTTGATTTGAGAATAATATGAAACGATTTCTTCTAAAAAAATAATATATTATCATTTAGAAATCCTGAACTTTAAAATATAACTTACGTATAATTGGCAAGTTCCATGAAATCACAGACAGGTCCTTTTCGAAGATCCGGGTCGTAAGAGCAAGTATCGTATTGTTTATAAGAACCGCATTCTGGAAAAAAAGAATGACATTACAAACACACACGTACGATAATATTGATATAGTGTATAATTTTACAAAAGCAATAGCATGCAAAAAGTTTTTTTTGTAGGTAATACAAGATGCTAAATCAAACTGTAATTGCAATTGTTCAAACAAAACATAGGTCAAATAAAAAGTAACTGACATTGCTCATAAAAACGAGGTCAGTCAATCAGTAATAGATGATGATCATGGTGGTATCGACGATGATGATGATGGCCATTATTGTGATGAAGTTGTTGGCGATGATGTTGATGATGATGATGATAATGATGATGAGGATGATAATGATGATGATGATGATGATGATGATGATGATGATGATGATGACGATGATGATGATGACGATGATGATGACAACAACGACAACGCCGACAAAAAAAGAATAAGATGATGATGACTATGATGATTACTCTGATGAGGTATTTAATATTATCATACCGTCTCCAATCCAGTTATTTTTAGGATAATACATGAGGAATGTATAACACATCTCGTCGGATGTACTCTCGCCCCAAAAAGTTGTTGTTTTCTTTGAGGTAGACTTGTAGTGACATTTTAACTGTATATTATAATCTTCCTCTAAAACCAGTGGTTCATCCAAGCTGAAATTAGGATTATAAAAAAACGAATGACGAAGCAAGTTGTAACATTTACTTGTAGGTTGCCTCACCTGATAAACTCAAATACAAAATTCACATGACTGTTATAAAATTATTTATAATGCCGCCCGTTTGTACTGTTTGTGTTTGTCATAAGATAATATTGACGTTTATATAATCTATATACATTGGTGCAGTCGATTTATGAAGTTATTTGTTTTTAATTCTCTAAAAAGGGAAGTTTGCAGAATCATTAACGAGTTATTAAGATTTCTAAAGTGTTATATCTATGGTTGTTTGTACAACACAGCCTTTATATACAAACAAAGTTTACATAGGACCATGTATTCTTTGTATATAAAGTGTTTTGTAGGAAATGTAATAAGTTATTATATTCAATATTTTATATGAACCACAAAATAAATTTCTTTATACAAAAAAAAAATCCTGTTTAACAATACAAAAATTCCTGTTTCAAAATCCTGTTTATATGATAAGTCCATTAATTTAATTAAACGCGTGTGTGTAATATAAAGAATATTTTCTTCTTTTATTAAATTTAAAATAATCAGGGTAAAATTAATCATATATAAATCAAATAAACATGAACATTACAGAATACTTAAACGCATACTAACACGACAAATTTGGGAGAATCGTAGCTGTAAGTTTCTTCATGGGATAAATGGAGCACCCTTCCATCATCTGTCGTTATATATGACGACGCCGATACACCTTTTTTTTAAAAGCAAACATATAATGTAAATTATAAACAAACATAATATTGAACATATGTATTAAGTTATAATTGTCAAAATGTTATATGGAATTTAAACAAACTAGAAGAAAGAAAATCAAATTTGTTGTAATTGTTGTTTTTATTATTATTATCATTATTATTATTATTATTATTATTATTATTATTATTATTCTTTTGATTATGAAATATAATCTGGTGGGTTTATACAAGTCATGCTCGTGAAGTTGGCAGCCTAGCAGCCTAGCAGCCTAAAGAAAACGAAGAATATTACAAACAGAAAAACCGGTCGGAAATGCATTCAAAGCTCTTTAATGGATTATTACATTGCTAATTTCAACATCACAATCTTTACTTTTTAAAGACATTGACCTTTAAGGTCAAATATTTCAATTTTGCTTGATTTTTGCTGTAATTGGCTTTTACTTTGTTTTCATTCTGACGCTTCAGAATTTGTGCAGTAGGCAGCCTAACAGCCGGGCAGCCTAAAGAAATATTATTTTAACATTCTTAGTTTTTTATTTAGGTTGTTCGGCTGTCAATTTCACAAACTCGAAGTGCCAGAATGAATATTTTTAAGCTCAGCATAATAAAATATAAAGATCATGAAATTGAAAATAAGTCTGTAATGACTTAAAGAAGTACTTATTGTGAATTTAAGACTGTTTTCATGTTTGTTATATTCTTAGTTTTTTTCGGCTTCTAGACCTAGGCTGCCAACTTCACGAACATTACAAAACGTGTCTCGCATGCACATAAAAAATTACATACAAAGAAAATCAAAATTAAAACTTTCTTGAACAGTCATCACTGTGTTTCTAAACAGAGATTTAGTCAGTTTAAATTCCTCTTATGAAATAGACGGTCGAATACTTTTAAAGGGATTCCACTAAGAGTTAATACTCGTATTTACATAGACGGGACTGGAATTAACGTTTTTGAGATTTGTGTACCATTTAATTTTGGTTTCGGCAAAATTTCAGATCATACGCTCACACTAATATTCACAATAATTTTTGTTATGCAAAATGACCCAAAATTAAAAAGCGTTTAAACGCGTTAAACTCAACTCCGTGAACCCAATCAGTTTTCAGGTTAATTTGAACTATATTTATATAACCACTTGCATATTTGATCTCATAAGTGCCCCGGTTGATCTATGTTAGCTTTTTATCATTGGAGATCATTTGAGCCGCACCATGACAAAACCAACATAGTGCGTTTGTGACCAGCATGGATCCAGAACAGCCGGCGCATCCGCGCAGTTTGATCAGGATCCATGCTGTTCGCTATCAGTTTCTCTACTAGTTAAAGGGTTTGTAAGCGAACATCATGTATCCTGATCAGATTTCGCGGATGCGGAGGCTGGTCTGGATCCATGTTGGTTGTAAGGGCATTATGTTGGTTTTGTCATGGCGCGGCTTATTTAATATTAAGCTTCCTCCTGGGATTAAAACTAGCATCAGATAACAGTGCATTTATATATTAAACTTTTACTACCCAAATAATGCATATGGTTGAAAGCGCCAACGATGCTGATTCTGTCTTTCATCTTTTCCTGTATACACTTCGAGGTGCAGGTCGAATTTGCAGTGTATCGTTCTACCCCTGGTGGGATTTCCAGGTACATCTGTCCGATGTAAAATATTCCAGCGTCGTTCGGGCGAAGATTAGGGGTAAGATACAGACTCATACCTGAACCATCGGTGTATGTTGATACTTTAAACGGATTGTTCCAATGTAACTGGAATAAATAACGAGAATTATGTACATTAACAAACAATGTTGACGGCTTGCTGTTTTGCAGTTCTATTACTAATCAAAGTGCTTAAAAGTATTGATATATCAGACGATGTTTAAGAGTCACTAATATTAAATTTTTTGCATTATAACACTTATTTTTTTATTATAACAATTTTTTTAAGGGGGGGGGGTAGAATAAGTTACAATGAACTCATTCAATAAAGGATTTTGATTTTGCAATGTTGACATGATGGAAACAATTTTTCGATATTAATGTTTCACTTGATGTAGGTCTAGACCAATACTTTGTTACAAAATTTCAGATCAGTCGCTGACTCCGTTTTCCCGAAGTAACTATTTCAATTTTTAAAAATGACCTGAATTGAAAAACATAGCAACGCTTTTTACTCAAATCGGGATAAGAATAGCACAGAAATACGATTTCCAATTTATTTCTTAACATATCTCTTAATCATTTTTAGACATATATTTCTTTTTCAATTGCCCCAGCTTATTCAACTGCAGAAATTCAAATTTTATGTTTTTAGTTTTTTGGAGTTCCTTTAAAGTTTACAATAAACGCTTCCAAGTGTTATTCTTCATTTATCACAGTGTATACATTTACAATGCACAAAATACGCCAGATTAAGGCACGTGATTCTCAATGACATTTTCTATTTCCATATATAGATAAATAATTTTGTAAAACAAAAATCCTCCGGAAGGAGAGATTTTTTATGAAAAAAAACGACAACAACAACAACATTTTATTTTAGGCCTAATGACTGAGAAGCACGGCCACTCACTTCTATCAATGCCTTTTTATATCCGTTAGGTCCGATTCTAAAACCAGCATCTTTGTGGTAACAAATTCCAGAGGAGCCTATAGCCCAAATCGCTATAACATCCGTACAACCTTCAAGTCTATTCATAAAACATGTATTTGGAGAAAGATGTTTCGGCTCAAACTTCGCTGTATAAAGAGAAGACATAGGTTACATCACACGTTTGATTAAAGAGTTATCGCAAGAAAAATGTGCAACATTCATAAAGTTTAGGGAATAAAACGAAAAGCCGTCCAAGACATTTTTTGGACGGGGCCTTCTATCCTGGGGCGTATTTGTCCGTTTCCCAGTCTTTGATGAAACATTTCACTCGCTCTCTACCCCAAATAATTACTTAAATACGTAATATATGCTATCTACATAGAGTATCATATTCATGAAGATTAAAATAATTCAAAATATGCTTAACAAGAAGTTAACTTGTACGGCTGCTTTCAAATATATAAATGGAATAAAGTCAATATTCGTCCTTCTACTTTTCGTAATTGAAAGTTTCCAATATCTACACGTTCATAAACATAATAAAATAAGAATTGAATCAATGCATAATTATGTATTCAAAAGTATTTCACATTCACATTGATCATATATCAACTTTTTAAAACTGAATACCAAACTGTCAAATTTTCTAAAGTTATTTACCATCATCTGTGCAACCGTAAACTACGATGTGATGCATGACGTCAGCATTATCTATAAAGGGTTTCCCGGCAACCAGATGGTAATCCTTGTCAACCGGAAGGTCTAAAACCTGGCACATATACGTTGTCTCCACGGCCGGAACAGATGACTTATTTAGCCTTACATCCACGACCTTTATATCTGCACATATATAGATATAAATAAAAAAATCATTACGTCGGCTTCGTAGTTAAAGATGGATTAAAATTCATACGTCTTTATGACATTATTATATCGAGGGTTGACTGTTTTACAGTTGTAAGCCCTTCTTAATTTTATATAAGTAACTGTAGTTTTGCGGTGAACCCTCGATAAGAAGCAGTATGTTAAAATTACTCTATCGGTCCAAATGGATGATAGATCCGACAAAGAAAACTGATTTTTGTCTCGTCTCGGAGAACAAAGCAATCAAAAGAAGTTTTAACGTTATACAATGCAATGATTTGTATAAAACTGAAGAATAGAAGACAAAAAGAATATAACGCGAGCAATTGTCCTTTATAGACACTACCTTTCCGAAAAAGTTAGAGGATTATTTTCAAGTCTTACGCTCATTCAATAAATCCATTATACTGTTGTTATTATTATTATTATTATTATTATTATTATTATTATTATTATTATTATTATTATTATTAAACTACCATTGATTGTCCTTACCTTTATCGCTGTCCACGGCGTCACACTGGAAAGCCATCTTAGTACAATCCAAAAAGCTATTTTTAGAAATACATTCAGTAGAGTTGTAAGGGTCGCAGATACCTAAATGAAGTCAAAAAGTAAATTACACTTTAAAAACAACATTTTACTATTTAAACTTTACATAGAACCATTGTGTTGTCAAAATGTGTCTTTCACCAGACTGCAGTTTATGAATCATTTGCAGGCATGTTGAGGCCTTTTAACATCTCGTGTGTTAATTTTTTGAGACAAGCGGATATTTGAATGGACAGTTGAAGGATTTTATATGGAAAACAAAAAAAATAGGCAACCAAATGTATCGAATCTAGTCTGACTGCACGACTGTGTAAGCAGGCCTTAGGCTACATCGCTTTCGGAGCCAGCAGGTAAAAGGCACGGTCAGAGCGAAAGTTAAATTGGCCAGTTTAAAATCAGTTAAGACAACTGAAACCAATCTTTCATATATGTTTTAATACTCGTCCTATTCGCCTTTTTAAACCTGACTATGCTACAAACCATTTAGCTGTTGTTTGATTGTTTGTTTGTTCGCAAAACATAAAAAAAAATATGTTGTAAGTAAACCTGGGTGTGCTATTCCAGTTGTTCTTTCAGGAATAGTACCCTGTTTCCAAACGCAGTTAGGATCGCCCAGCTCCTCGCCGTTCGTCCGCCCATCTGCATCCGAGTCTTTTCTACAAAGCGTCTCTGTCCAAGTCTAAATCATTACAAATAAGATATGTTAGTTTAGCAAATATGCACCTTTCGACTTATGAAATAAAAAATTTGTAAAAAACATTAAAAAGAAATCCGGGGAATAGGCCAAAGCATTTGCTACTTACTGATTGGACTTATATGTATGGTCATTGTAAAAGTGACCATAGTTTATTTGATGACCTACTGAACTCTTTACAGTTTTATTTTCAACTTTCCCATCGAATCCGGATACTGTAAAGCGGCAAATTCTCATGTTATTAACTCAACAAGGCGTTGATAGTAACATTGACCTTTGACCCACTGACATCAACATCAAGGTTATCTGGTATACACTAAATATGATGAAACTACACCTAAGTGTTCGCTCGTTATTGATCGGGCAAGATTTGGATTAAGGCAAAACCGATCGACAGACGAACCAATATACCTTACCCCACCATTTCTTTGAAGGGGAACAAACTTCATCCTTTAGCTATTAGTTCCCTGTTGGATTATATGTATGGTGCTTATACCATATGAATTTTTTTTGGTTTTGCGTGGGGCAAAAAAGTCAACCCTCCATAACTTTTTAAAGATTGCATTATTTTCAATCGGATGAAGTGTAAAACCTTCTTATTCTAGTAACAGAATGTTGTATGGGGTAAATTGCAGAACTTTGACGGATAGCGAACCCTCGTGCTTTGAAAGTGAAAGTGTTCAAACAAATGTATAGGTCTAAAATGAAGTTTAAACTCACAAATCCCTCTCCGGCAAAGTCTTTTCCAAACGGATTCCTGGGACCCCCACCACTTTTTGCTTGATGTCCGACACCTTGCCATATTAAGTTTCTGTTACACGGACTTGGAACAAATTCACCATTTGGAATCTGTTCCCGGAATTGCCTGTACCCGTAAACGCTATGTTGTACGTACACAACCAAAATAACACTTAGTCTGAAATACGAGAAGGTATTTATTTTATTTGTGATACATTGTTATCACTTTACTTGAAAATACTTTTGAAAAGAAAACACTAGAAAACCAAACAATAAAATAATGACATCTCTGGAAAATACAAGGTCAGGTCATATCAATATCAATATGAAATAATAAATTCGGCTTGCACATGTTATATATGAAAGTTATCAATAATTAAAAGCCTATTATGGTTCAGAAATGAATTTTCTCTCTCAAAAGCTTTTTAATTTCGATGTACTTTTATAGTATCCAAAAGTGACTCATTGCCAGTATTTGTACCATTTTTCTTATTTGTTTTGTAAAGTAGTATTATGTCTGGAAGTCAAAATACTACTTTATTTACATTTCGTTTCATTGATGACTAATCATTTCACATTCTATTCACATCGCTATTTTCTTCTGATAACAAGCATCTAACATGCTCCAAAATATTATTTTAATCACTATAAAATTCATGTTTGCCCTTTCTAAAGAAATAAAACTATATTTGCTTCTGGGGCATAATGGGCCTTTAATATAAACATAAACATAAACACGAACAGATATAATCCAAATCTCTAACGAAGAGGCATGTATAATGTAAACCTATGGAGAATTCTATATGTATGTTTCATAATTCATCAATTCAAGTTAACAAAAAATTATAATTTTGCGTTCAGTTCAACCCTTCCCTACCACCACTCCACCACCACCACCCGACGCAAAAAAACTACATACACACACAAAAAGAATAAAACAATCAGCAAATTTCCTCACCCTCTCTACTTTACCTTTGCTCCTCTATGCAGAAATGAATCTATAATCCATTACACATGCACAACAGAATGTATAAAAGATCATGTGGAAGAACATCAAATGTGACTATGATATATTAAAATTAATAAGATTAAAACTTACAAGAAAACGTGCATCGCTTCTTTTGGTTTTTAATATACCTATATCAGAAGAGCACTCAAACGGCAATAAATAAGATGAAAAGTCATAAGGTTCAAGTGCATATATACTTGAATGAAGCTTATTGTGTTATAAATTGTATATGCGTATATCTTAGTAAACAGGAAGTTTAATATTGATGAATCGAGTGCTCGCGCAAACAGGAAACCGGTATTTTTGTCATAGTTTTTGGCAGGTATAGTTTTTGGCAGGCATCATAGTTTTTGGCACATATTTATTTAAAGTACTACATTGAAGTAAATTTATTAGCCTAGGGCGCATTTTACTTACATTGTTTGGTATCATTTTACATGCAAATAGAGATACCATATTTTAATGAGTGTATAGCCTTAGGAAGCTAAAAGTAAAAACGTCAGGTGATCGGCTCAATCTCTGTAAATAAACAACAGGGGTGTATGTTTTTCAGTATAATATTTGGATTTGATTATATACTATACAAGAAAAGCATTGATGCAAAACATCAAAGGGCGTCCAAGCAAGAAATGCAGCAAGTGAAGATGAACTAGTAGAATATACAGATGTTTATAATATCCAAAATATACCCCACTCCCTATATGGTATAAGTCTATTTATGCTATAATGGGGTATTTTTGGATATTATCATTAATATTAGTTATTTGATAGAATTTTAAGTTCGTGTGGTATTTTCTTTGGAACATAAAAAATTGTGGACAACATTAATAAAGTCTGTAAAATGATTTATTGGGAAGCCAATCTACTATTTTAATGAATTACTTCAAAAACCTCGTCTGACCCACCAGTGTGTTTTTACATCCATATCAATAACCCACAACAGATCATACGAAAGTTTGTACAGTTTCACTCCATAAAGGGCGTAGCTCTTCGGCGCGGACGCCAATATCGCAGTGATTTAGTGCTTACACTCATTTCTTAAATATTCATGACTTGCAATTTCGGCCATCAGTCTCCTAAAAAAAGTCCCGAGTAATAATGGTTCATATTTCTCCTACAACGGGTTAATTTCTGTATGCGATGGCTCCAGCAAAAACGTTTACTTGAGTGGTTCGTTAATATTAGTTTCCGTTAAGGACAGTAACTTTTAACCTATATTATATAAATAACAGTATTTGCATCGTGTATATATTCCGTCGAAGAATTTTGTTATTTATGACAAAATAAACGAGGGTAAAACGTGTTGGGGGAAACTAACCGCGTGTGTATAAACGTGAGTATAAACACAACAAAAATAAGAGCCAGAAGAAATAGAATGCTTTGCTGGGCAACGATCGTACATGTGCCCTTTAGCTTTTTCAGTATAATTTTACTTATAAATGTGTTGCTACCTTTATATGTACATGTAGTATGGTTTGTTACAGTCCGTGCAATATTAAAGTTGAATTTGTGGTCAATTGTGGATACAATTTAAAGCTTTCCTCTTTTATTAAATTAAAAAGTAAATCTAGTACACCATCATGTGTTCAACATGACCGAAAGAAATAATGCATAATAAAACCAAAAACAGCTGCATTAACTGTAACATAACAACTGTGCAGTTTTTATTTGTTTGGGTCGTCAGACCAAACAAACAATGGTAGCGAAATTTCAGAGCCTAATGCTGTTAATTGCAAATGATTAAAGTAGTCCACTTTTTTGAAGCGGTTACTTCCCTTTTATATGTACATCAACGCCGAAAAATTCAGGGGCGATCAATGTGTAAAGATTGTCAAATGACAGGCGCATTAATTTTCAAGCAAAGAAGTTCCCGAATGGTCGAATATTTCTAATATTGTTTCATTCTTTATAGATATAAATGCATGCAGTAAGCTCCATGATTATTTACATCGGTGTTTAGCATCGAAATAATAAGAGTTACAAACCCCCTATTTAGAATAATATGGTTTTCTTCAGGCCGTTAACTCATTACTTCACCGTGGCCGAGAGGTTTGCACGCTCGCTTATGAAACGAGAGGTCTCGAGTTCAAATCCCAGTTGAGGCAATTCATTTTTTAAGTCAAATAAACATTGCATTGACTATAAGTGCTGCAAATAGTCTTATAGCCAATTTACTACAGTTAAAACACTGGAAAGCATTGGTGGCACTATACAAAAACAAATTGGTTTATAATCCCACAACCTTCACCTTTCTGACATTCTGAGACCAAAACAAATTCAGCACCTTCGATGCTTTGATTTTATTTCTAACCTATATTAGACGTTAATTAAACATAAATTAAACAAATGACATGTAATATATACATTGAAAGAAAATAAGTAACAAAAGTGTAAGTACTTACAAGAATTTGTTCATCTTTCGTCTTCCCGCGGATTGTGTAATGTTATGATTGTATTTAAACAAATTTATATGCGCGCGCAAACAGGAAGTGTTTGTATGTCATAGATTCTACCCTTGTGGCTCAATAAATTTCGTCATGCTAATCGGTGGAGTGGAAAATAAAATGGTTAATTGAGATCTAAAATAATCGTCACGTGATGTGTAAATAATAAAAAGGAGTGCATAATTTATCAGATGTGAAAACTGGAAAAAAAGTACTCCACAATCTGATATGACATTCACGAGATGAAGTGATGTAATTAAGGGAGGGAGTTAATACATGCCGATTTTTCGTTGATTTTTCTACTCATGACTCTTATATATTTATGCATGTATATACAACAGGACTTTTAAAACGTACGACTGCTGTATTAATATGGTGGTTTCAACGATACCGAAATTCCATCAAACTTATATTATATATTTTCTCCATAAAACAAAGATTAAATTGGCGACCGTAACTGCAGTGTTATCTTTTATCTAACAAAGAAGGTTTCGTAAAAAAGCGCTTTAAGATTCGTATTAAATTATAATTAAGCTAAATTCACTGCTAAAGATAGCCTGTGTGTGGATGGATGGCGCATTAAAACCAAAATTGTACATTTAATGAATAAATGAACTGTTAAAATCAATTATATATTTTGAGGTTTATTTACATGTAAAAATACTCGGTGTTGCCCTTTAAGTAATTATCTATAATATAAAATTTCTGGGAGGGGCTTAATTTAATGTTGCTAGAACTTGTTGCCCAACCCATTTGCTTTTTGTTATATACTTATCATTTGTATAATATTTGACATGTATTTGATGCAACAAATATGTTTAAATTTTAAAACAAAATGCTTGGCCTTTATAATCAGCGCTTTTAGTTCGTATTATGTAAATAAATGTAATATTAAGAAATGCGATGTATGTGAAAACAAATATCGCTTTGTCATATCCCTGGGTTCGCAAAAGGGTTAAATTAAACTTATAGGAACAGGAAGTGTTTGTATGTCATAGATTCTAGCCAGTAACAAATTATTTTGAAATATACTTGTGGCTCAATAAATTTCGCCATGCACATCGGTGGAGATTAAAATCTAAACTAATCGTCACGTGATGTGTAAATGAAAAGGAGGAGTGCATAATTTATCAGATGTGAAAACTGGAAAAAGTACTCCACAATCTGATATCATATTATTTAAACCGATGATTTAGGGGGCAGGGGACCTAAAAATGAAAAATTTTGTATTTCAGTGTGACCAGAAACACAATTCCAAATATTTCAAAATCTGTTTCACAGGCAGATAACCAGTTGCACAGCATTATTCAATGATATATGACATACATTGAAGAAAATAATAGTTTGCATGCATTGCTCTTTCAAAAAATGACTGACAGCAATTTATATTTACCCCCACCCAGCCAAAATCACACCTAAAATGTACCAATATAGGCAATCTTCATGAAGGTGCAGCATACTCCAGAATCCGCCCGATTCCTTTAAAAATATCAGTAACACGCAGTGCAAGCTATGGCATTTTCAGAAATGACAAATAAAGTGTCTGTCATACGTTTAGATTTTTCACAAAATTTATCTGAAATTTCTTACTTGTTTGGCGCCAACTGTCAAAGCTTGATTTTTAACTTTTTCACCTCCATTCGGAGAGTCAGAAATACATACAAAGCTACCAAAATGCTTAGTTTCGGGTAAAACCCCAAAAATATATCTCATTTCCTACACACAAACAAGAAAGAATTACAATGACAGAGAAATATCAGAAGTTATCAGTACCTTCAAAACACCATGTCTGAGTTATTAAAAAATTTGACCGGGGCCATCATTCGAATATGTCCCCTGCCCCCTTACAATCACATTCACGAGATGAAGTGGCTGTAAGGGAGTTAATACATGCCGATTTTTCGTGCGATTTTTCTGCTCATGACTTTCTTATATATTTATATATACTACATGTCGGACTTTTAAAAAGCACGCCTGCTGCATTAATAAAGTGGTTTGCACGAAACCGAAATTCCATCAAACTTATATTATATATTTTCTCCATAAAACAAGGATTAAATTGGCGACCGTTACTGCAGTGTTATCTTTTATCTCACAAAGAAGGTTTCGAAAAAAAGCGCTTTAAGATTCGTATGAAATTATAATTAATCTAAAATCACTGCTAAAGATAGCCTGTGTGTTGATGGATGGCGCATTAAAACCAATATTTTACATTTAATGAATAAATGAACTGTTAAAATCAATTACATATTTTGAGGTTTATACGCATGTAAAAATAATCGGTGTTGCCCTTTAAGTAATTTTTCTATAAAATAAAATTTCTGGGAAGGGCTTAATCTAATGTTGCTAGAACTTGTTGCCCAACCCATTTGCTTTTTGTTATATACTTATCATTTGTATAATATTTGACATGTATTTGAGGCAACAAATATGTTTAAATTTTAAAACAAAATGCATGGCCTATATAATCAGCGCTTTTAGTTCGTATTATGTAAATAAATGTAATATTAAGAAATGCGATGTATGTGAAAACAAATATCGCTTTGTCATATCCCTGGGTTCGCAAAATGGTCAAAATAAACTTATAGGAACAGGTCAACATACGGTTATGTATACGCGTACATCGTTGCATCAGAAACACAAAGTACGATCAACCCGATTGACGCCGTTATATATCTCAACTTTTGTAAATTTTGCACTTGCCGCTAAATGCCTCACGAATGCCGCTAAATGCCTCACGAATGTCGCTAGATATCGCAACCGCCACTAGAATTCGCAAAGTCTTAAATGTCGCGATGGTAACTTTAAA